ACATCTATTCAGAAACAAATACTGACTTAATGACTATATTTTATGAAACAGTCTAAAGCAGAGTCCCAGAACAGAATATTCCACTTTTGGAATTTATATATTTATGCCCAGAAATAAAGATATGTGTAACACACATAAAAGCACAGGTGTGGGGCACACTTTTGCTCTTTCCAGGTAATGGACTTTATGTTTTTATGTAGCTATTTCACAGGGAAGAACAACTGGACAGATATTAGTTTTGCCAACTACTTAATGATTATGTTCCCTTGAATACAGGGTAGAAGTTGGATTATTGCCAAATGATACGGGAAAAAAAGGTCAGATCTGGTTCCCTATGCAGTCTTTCAAATATTTACAAACTCCTGAGATTCCCACAGTTTCATCAGTGTTTTCTGACTAACTAAATTGGCCAAATCGATTTTTTTTTTCCAATTCCCTTTGGACTTCCTCTGTAGTTCAACTTCCTGGGCAGATGATTGTCCAATAAAGAAATCAATCAATCAAAAACATCTCAATCTATGAAGTGACAGTAGATTTAATGAAGGCCTGAGCTTCTCTGTGAAAAAGCTTGGTTTTCAGAGTCTGTTGGTGCAGCCATAGGCATAGAAGGTACTTTTAGAAGTAAGGTTGGAGTAGGAGGTTGGGGCACTGGTAGGATGCTTGGGAGACCTGGTGCCCTGACATCCTGCACTCCATAGATTTCTTGCAGGATTTGGGGCCAATCGCTTTGCCTCTCTGCATCACAGTTACTCAGTTGTAAAATGGGGACAGCTGTCCTCCTCTATTTCTCAGAGGACTTGTGAAAATAGAGGCATTAAAGATTGTGAAGCCATCTGTTGCTATGGTGATGAGGCTTATTTAGGCACTGAAGAACCAAGATTAGAAACTAATATGTTTCCTTGTACAACTTATTTAGAATGTGGATGGGCGGTGCTGACGTAGAAGGTCTGGTTCTGCCTCCAGTAATGTGGTTACTGATTCTCAGTGGGGACAGGAGCAGTCCTCAGCAGATTACAAAAGACATGTATCATTAAACTCTATTATTTTTAATGCCTTCACATTGGGTCAGTTGCATAATGTCTTGTGGTGGCCTGTTGTACCAGATAAAAATGATGTGCAGGATTTTAACACCTGCCATAGTTGCTAGATGCTTCTACCTTTTTTTTGTCAGGTGTTTGCAGCTAAGGTGAATGCAGTGAAAATACAGAAAATCAGCACCAGGGAAGATTTGTAAAATTCCTGTAGGTGTTGTGGAATAGAGTGGGGAAACTTTAAAGGGTAAGGGAGTTCCATATTTCTGATATGTGGGAATTCTGTGACAGGGAGCAAACTACAGATGAGTCAGAGGACATGGAGCAAAAGGCTCAGGGAAAATGGAGTCAGTGGGATACCTGTGATACTGCCATTGTTGGGGAACAAGAAACCACTTCTGTGATGTGGTTTGGCCTGCAGAAATAAATTTGATATCTGGAGATGGATAGATTTTGCAAATCCCATTTTTTTCCCTGCGTTTTCTCCCAGTACTGTGATAACATCATCAGTACATCAACACCATTTAATATTGTTGAATAATTTAGGTTGGAAGGTACCTCTAGGTCCTGTGCTCTGAAGTCCCTCCCCTTTGTTGCTGCCTGGGCTGATGCACAAGCCTTGCTTCTGGCTGGATCCAAGCTATAGCTCTGGGATTTTCCTGTACCTCTGCCCACTGCCTCTCAACCCTGGTTTGTCTTGCACTTGAACTTGCACTGCAGTTCTTTCCCCCACCTCTGTTTCCATAAGAGCATATTTAGAATGGGGAACTTGAAAAACCACTTGGTTCTAATAGATGAAACATTTGAGGTCAGCTGTAAGGTGTTTGTTTTAAACAGCCAATCAATATATGAAATACATCCTCTAAATCTGATATTGAGGGAAGTTCCAGAGATCTATGTCTCATGTCCAGATGGACTGGCTTAATATATCTGTGAATTATTTGGCACATTTTAAATATGTTCCTCTTTCCCCTGCACCTGAGATGTAAATATCATAATACTGTGTCAGGATAGTGAATTGTTTTCATCCTTGTACTAGGGAAGCAGCTATTCCCTTCCAGGCTTTTTGGTCCATCATAAATATTCTGTTTCTTTTTAAAATTGACATGATTATTTTTCCCTGTCTATTTGTGTCTCTGGGTTATTTTAACATCCAGTTCTAACCCAGCTGCTTTTGTCCGGTTTTGCTCCCTTTTCATCTGATATCTCTGATGTAGCAGGAACATAGGAGCTGGTAAAAGAATTAGAGCAGCTAAATGATTGTATGCTCCTGCTTGACCACCACGAGTTTTTTCTGGTACTTAAACAATGCAAAAATGACCACTAAATGCAAGATTCTCTGGAGAAAAAGAAACACAATAAGCTTTCCTTATTTTTTGTCTTTTGCCAAGGCATTTTAGTTAGAAGCAATAGGAAAACACACATTATTTCCTCACATCTGGGTGAGATATTAATTTTAATGCTGAGAACAGTTTATTTTGGTAGTTATCTGTACATCACAGGTAGTTTTGCAAGTAATTTTCTTTAAAAGTAATAAAACTGTGTAAAGTGTCCAAGTAAATATTCGTCTTTACTGTTATCTAGTGTTTAGAAAATAATTTTGGGAGGAAGGGTTCTTGTTTCCTAGAGTTTATAATTAGTTTGTTTAGTGATTCTTTACTTTTTTTAGTGATTAAGCTAAGGCTCAAATTTTACTTTCCTGTGCCTTTAAATCATTGCACTTTCATTCGCTTCTCTTGCCTGAAGTAAAAACCAATAGTCCTATGTGAATGCACTTCAGAAATTCCACAGGTGCTACATGGAAAACCAAGTTATGAATTTAATTCGAACAGAGCTGGATGCTGCTGAAACATAAAAGTAAATTCTGTGTAACTGTGCTGCTGCTACTGGGACTACGACTTGGGAGGCATTTACCTCTTCAGATGATCTCCTAAGTGGGGCACAAAAACCCATGGGAATTGCTGGCAGGGTTCAGGCTGATCTTGCACTGCCTGCAATACATCCACAAGCTCCACCACCTGGGCTGGCCCCTAGGGAAACTGGGGTGACTGCTCTCATGGCTAATGGCTGGGCTACAAATGTCAACCTCTTCCTTGCCAGCGCTTCTGTGCTGAAGGGAGCAGAGTTCCTGGCTTTCTCCTAGCAGGCCATTGGCCTGAGACTTTGGGTCACCAGGGATATTTTCACTGAGGCATGGCAGCGCTCTCTTCAGCCTGTTTGTAGTTAGCAGGCTGTGGCCCAGGGCTGCTGGGATGTGGCATGTGGCCTTGCAAAAGCAGTTTATTTGTTGTGCTTTCTTGGAGGATGACTGAGTTCTCTGTTATCTTCTGAGGCATGGAGGGGATGAGCAGATGGAGTGCTGTCACCAAATGGGAGCAGTGTGTCATTCTGGCTAGCCCTGTTTGCTCCAAGCACCTGGGTGAATCCATAGGGAGCAAAGCATGCATGTAAATGGCCCAGACTATCTTTTAAATTGTCCTTTTTCAGTAGTCTCCAACAGCTCACAGCCTATGGAAGGGTCAGTGTTATGTCCACAAGGTGGGTTTCCACTGCTGTGCCCAGCATTCAGAGTTTCCATGCCAGAACCCTTTGGACCTTCACTGCGTTTCCACACTGGAAATCAATTTAAACGCCACATCTCCACTGCAAACTTATACTCTGCTTTAGACACTGGACCAGTGTGTGGTTCAAAGGCCAGTGGACTACACCTGAAAGAATGTCCCATGAAGAATGACCACTTCAAAGGTAACTCTGCAGTGGTACCCCAGGCTGTAGCAGTGTCATCCCATTTTGACCCACAGTAACTTAGTAGATCTGATTATGGTCTCAATCAGATATGCTTATGCCAGAAGGCTTCTATGAGGGCATTGCTGTTTGTTTTTAACCATGTCAGAACAAGAACAGAGCTTTTGGGGGAAAATCTAGATATCTAGAATTTTTCAGTGGAAATCAGCTCATTCTTTGCTCTCCCTTATCCTGATTTTAGGTTATCCCTTTATGTGCCATGGGGCATTAGAGAGGCCTGTCACTAGGAGTGGGGTCTCTAGAAGTGAACTATACAAATTGCCAACTGCACTTCAGTGTTTGGTGTCATCTTCTTTGCCCAAGGAGGGAAATGATTTTAATTGTATTTATATTTTCTCTAATAGCTGACATTTTCTTACTGTCTGAATTAAGAAGAGCATTTGGTTTGGTAAAATAAGTAAAAAAAGATAAAGATGTTTTGTCCCTCAATGTATTTGCAGAAAATTTCAAGGATGTGGTGATGTTCAGATATCCATGAAAACGAGATGAGATTTAAATATGAAGAGGCAGGAATTTTCCTTCAGGTGAAGGATGACATTTGCATAGAAACAAGAATGACTCATATGTTGTTAGGTGAATGCCTAACTGGAATCTAAAATTCCTGTGCATCATTCACCTTTTACCTTAGATGGCAATAGGAAATATGCTAAGCAGGGTACCCAATCTTTCATCATGTCCCAACACAGGAACTGACTGGAGAGAATTCATAAATAAATTGTAGCAAAATGAGATGCTGAACCAAATTTTATCACTGCACAGGAAAAACTTGCATTGCTTTTTATAGAAAGACTGAACTTTTCTTTCCTTTTCTTTTTATCATGAAAACCATGCAAGAAGAGAGGACTGCTTCTTGTAGCAACTACTTTAGAAGCCATTAACTTCACTGCAATTTCACTTTTGTAGTTTAAATTATATGAAAAAAGGTGCTGATTTATTTTCTTAAACACATCTCTTCTTTACCTAGAATAATAGTTTTCAAAGCAGGATATCTGAAGGTAGAAAGACCATGAAATGTCTCTACTAAGTTCTGTTGATCTCTGGTACCAAAATGGAAGTGATTTCTTTAGATATAATGTGTTTTTTTCTGTAAACTTTTGAACCAATTTTCCTGCAGAGAATTTGTTTCGAGTTCAGTTCCTCATCTCAATTTTTTTTTTATTACAGGTTAACATCAACTGATTTTACTAATTGTTTTCCATTAGGAGGGCAACTCAGCCAGAATAGGAGCCTGATCCTCTTAGCTACTAATCCTGTTGCTACAACCACTAGGTAAGGTCATATTTCTGTCACTTGTGAAAATACATATCTAAGGCCAACTCAGCTCTTTAGCACTTCCCCATTTTTTGTTTTCCATTTTTTGTTTCCATTTTTTTGTTTTCCATTTTTACCTTGTGTCTATGAATTGCCTTATTATTGGACTTTGAAAATACTCCATACAACTACTCAACATACCCTGACAATAGAAATGCTTCTTTCATAATAATGCAAGGTAAAATAAATGAAAAATTTAATTTTTATTTGCTCCTTCATGCAAAACAGCCAAGTGACTGTAGCACTGTATTCCACAGAGACTAAGGAATTATGGTGTCTGCTGGAGTTGCACAGAGAGAAAGCATGTGTCACAGAAACTTCCTCAGTTTGTGTTGACAGAGCCCAGCACTGCTCATCTGCAGTAATTCTCATTAGTTCTGGGTGAATTTGAAGAGGTATAGACTTGTATAAGTCTACAAAGCACTCTTTAAATGAGATTTAAATATACAGTCTGATAATGAGTTGTCTTTAGGAAACTTGTGCCACAGCAAGATTTCCCACTGGTGAGCAGGGATGGAGAGCTTCTGGTAGTTCCCTGAAGGGCAGCACTGCAGTTTCTGATCATGCAGTTTCCCACTGTGACTGGGGATCCTGGATTTTTGATTATTAATTAAAAAATGGGGTGTTTTCATTTCTATTAGAGTGAATAAAGAATGGCTCCACATTTTTCTGGAAAGCAATGGAGTGGAAAAAGTGTCTTAATCATTTTCCATGGGGAAGTCTTTAAGGGGCAGTTGCTGGACTAGTACAACTATACTTTTCTAAATGTCTTTTCATGTGCCATGGGATTATTTCTGTATAAGGAAATGTGTGATTGAAAAGTGTAACTGTTTGCTACTTGGAGTCTTCTTGGCCTTATAATATAATAGTTTTCTGGGAAATTTACTGACTTAAATGTATATCTACCAGTTTTATTCCTACATAAAGACTTGCAATACTTTTTTTTTTCTCCCAAGAGCTTCTAAATAAGCTAAAGCAAATTTATCTTGTCTCTGTGTCTCATAAAGGAGTACAATTGTCTGTGGATGTCATAAATCATGCTTTCAAACCCCTGACTGTCTTACAGAAGAATGTTAAGTGCTAATACTGTCCTAACACAGTAGCTCAGCCAACAGGAATTGCAGAATATTCACGGTTGGAAGGCACCCACAAGGATCATCAAGTCCAACTCTTAAGTAAATGGCCTGTACGGGGACCAAATCCACAACCCTGGTGTTATTAACACCGTGCTCTAATCAACTGAGGTAATCTCAGGGACAGATTTTCATTGTTTCTTGCTTGTCATGGTATTCAATGAAGGTTTCTGCCTACATTATTTAAGTCAAATTCAGCATCACCTTCTTTTAATAATCAGCATTTAACTTGGGATTAATCTAGACTCTCTTATTTCCTCTCCTGCAATATCATAGGCAGGGCCCTTAACCTGTGCCTGCCTTCTGTTATCCACTTCAAAATGTTTGTCTAAATAGCAGACTACTTATATTGTTAAGGATCAATTAATTTATTAACTATTTAACTTAATGCACTCTGAAAGTATAATGTGCTACAGATGTAATTTTTGTCATTAACAATGCTTCAACACTGCTAATGCTAATTCATTGGCAAAATCTGGTGGGTACTGAAAAAATACTTCATCAATTAAAAATGGGAAGGTGTGTTATCTGGCCATTACAATATTGAGAGTGGAAATGTCCTGATTCTGGGCTTCCCCCATGCCAGCTCCAGTCAGGGAAAAAATATCTTCTGTTAATAATGTTAACTGATGTGCTCTCATATAAGTTTGGTGAGAAGTATGTGAACAGTTGGGCCTGATTTTCAGCAGATGTAGATCTATATTATGTAAAAATATTAATGTTTATTCCTACCTTATGATCTGTTTGTAATCCTTCCCTGTGACCTTTTAGAGTATTTTTCCCTGATCCTATTTTGGGCTGCCTATTTGACAACATGAAAGGATTAGCAGGAAATAGAATTTGTTTCTCGGTATTAATTGCTCCAATACATGGTGCTCCTTTGCATGTCTGCCTTCTTCAAAGTTTACTCCTGCTCAAAGTGTTTGCTTCCTGCTATGCTGTGTTAAAGGGCTTTTAGCAAAGGAACGGCTTGCTTGGTGATGGGGAGGATGTCACTCTTTGATCAGCAGCTTTTGTGCCTACAGAACACCCTTGCTCTGATCTGAGTGCTGTCTGCAACCCTCTGCATTCTTGATCTGTGTGGTTTGTTTGCTGTAGTTCTTGTCACAGTATTATGCAAAGCCTGTTAAAATGCTGACGCTTCCCTCCGCCCCCGTATTATTTTTCCTGTGTTATTTTTGTGACCTCTGGCTGAGGCATAGCCCCTGTATACCTCATCTACTAATTTGCTGCTGTTTATATCAGAAATAGGATGCTCTAACTTGTTATCTACAGCTATCTAGGTTATGAAAATATATATTCAGCAAATACTTCCTCTTAGTCTTGTTACTTTTCTGCCTTCCTGTCAGTGCCTCAGTACAACTCTGACCAAATCTAGCAGCCCACTCCTGGCAGATTTTAACCCTTACAGCAAAGCAACAAAGTTCTCAGTCTTGCTGTCTGTATACACACCTTGAAGGCAACACTCACTACAAAACACAGCTTCATTGTATTCCATCAAAAGCTGGTGATGATGCCTAGATAGCCAAGGTGTGTCACTGAGAAAGTGGGCAAGTGGCATTTTTTTCTTACCCCACTGGAGTGGATTCTGTAAGACAGAAGTGCTTGCCACATGTGTCATTTTATGCTGTTTGAGAGCAGGCCCCAGATGTCTTTTCCAAGGTGCAAAATATTGCTGGCATTAATTATTTTAACCCCCCAGTATATGTCACACTTTCATGATCATGAAGAAAACATAAGATACCTTAGTTTTACCCTAAGATAAATTTAATGAGATAAGGGACAGCATGGACCTCATGTAATTTATTTGCAATAAAATGTAAGTGGGAATCACCTTGAGATCTAGGCTATAGGAAAGCAGGTGTTTATTACCTTTGATAAGTATTTGTAAAAAAAGATCCATCTGCATGTAAAATGTGTTGTCAAATACAGTATTGACAGCAGTGATAAGGCACTTCAGCAGTGATAAGGCACTTGATCATGTGGTGTGGTTTGCCAGTGAAAGAGAAATTGCTGTTCTATTCACTCTTAACCTTTGTGGACACAAGATCAAGCTAGTGAATGACACAACAGTAGATGCGACTCTTTGCAGCATCACAAGCTCCATGTTTGCTCTTATTTGCCAAATACACAAGAAGCAAAACTCATAATTTTCTGAGCATCTCAATGGAAGAATAAAATGGGAACTTTTATCTGCCCTTTATATGCCATGTACTGCATTTATTGTCCTTTGCTGCAGCTGAGCCACCCTGTGCTACAAAGAATAGGTGTTCTGCCTTTACCCTTAAATTCTCTTGGTGGAAATCGTGACCCTGATTCTACTCTCACACCAGCATCATTCTGAGTGCAGGTCATGGGAGAAACACTCTTTCTTTAGGAAGTCTTACGTACTTTATTAATCTTAGTTTTATGTATTACGTCACTAAAAACCCCTCTTTCTGTGAATTGGAATAAATCCTAGCAGCGTACAAGCATAAACAGTTAGTAAACAGTAAGAATAGTTTGCAATACCTTTGCAGTATAAACTCTACCCATTTATTTAAGTTATGCAAACAGTTTGGGGTGCAAAAACATGGATTAAAGTGACTTCAGAAAGGGAAATTCATTGTTCTTAGGGAAAGCTGCTCTAATCACTTCATCCTTACATGCAGTACTTGGACTTGGTTGTGGAAATACTGCAAAGTGCTCATTCCTGTGGTCTAAATCAGCAGTGTGGTAGCTGGCTGCTCTGCAACAGCAGCTGAAGAGCCAATGTTTGCTTTTCCAGCAATGTAGCTATGTAAGGAGGGTCTCCAGAAGTGTAAAATCACATCTTATGTAGCAAACAAAATTAAAAAAAAACCCAACCCCCAGCATAAATGCCATTTCTTTTAAAATGGAAGCAAGAGAACATAGGTAACCCTCTTCTGTCTGGTTCTGTTACTGTAGTAGGATTCTGGTATTAGTTTCATAAGGCTGTTCAGACATATAAACATTCTTTCCTTTGCAACCTCTCAAATTATTCCACAGTTCCACTGGAAGAGATTTCTTGTGCAAAGAGATATTCCCAAGTCCCCTAGTCAAGGAGCCAGGGGGATTAAAAAAAATGAATAGAGATAACCCTCTGCCTTAAGGCAGATGGATATTTAGCCTATTATGTTTTCCTTTTTTTTTTTTTAAAGCCTTATCTTCCCAAAGCTCTCATTTCCCCCTCCCTTTCCTTCCTTTTGTCATATTAAAAGCTCAGTAAGACTCAGGCAGCTGGCAACCACCAGGTCACTTGGATGCCAGTGTTGTCTCAAAATTATCTCCTTGATATGAGCAAGATTATTTTTTTCCCTTGGAAAAGAATCTGGTCCTTTTCAATTTCATCTGTTAATGCAGACCCTTCCTTCTATCTTGGAGTCTGTAATAACATTAATTGGGGCCAAGCACATGCAGCCAGGTTGGGTACAGCATAGGTGACACTCTGTGGGTGCAGAGAGATGGGGAAGGCTGGTGGAGAGGTAACGTGCTTGTTATTTAAGGCTCACTAATAATCGCAGTAGTTATGTCTTGGTTGCCAGTTTTTAGATTTGTGTGTTGAAACATCTTGAACAAAATGTTAGTGAGAGCAATTCTGCAGCATCCTGCTGACTGAATTCAAGGTGCTGCCTCGTTTGCCATCTGCCTGCAAGCTCACAGTAGTAATTATAGTGAGTCTCGCAAGTGCTGGAACAAGAGGTATGTCAAATGCATTTTCCTTACATTTGAAGGTAATTTTCATTTTCTCAACTCATTTAAAACTATGTATGATTATGAGCTGCAGGTGTGGGAGCCACACAGAAGCACACAGACATGTGTACA